TTAAATAGGGCCTCAAATATAACCAATTTTTTCCCCCGATTTTGTATTTACAAGTGAGCGTCCTCATTATTCACTAGCATTGTTTTCAAGTTTCATATACACGTGCCGCCGCACGTTTGCCGCCCACTTTTTTGATTGATTGACGTTTGCCGAATCAGCCAACCAAAATTACTTCCGTTGCTTGTTTTTCTAGTATGCAAATTTTTCACGCGTGGGAAAAATGCAGACTGGCTGACTTAAAAAAATAGTTTTTATCCGTTAATTTTTTCAGCTAAAAATAAAACAGTCAGCACAATCAAATTTAACTTCTTGCGAGATTAAGGGGGATCTCGAAGGCTATTTCCGTTGGCGTAGAAGGTAAAAAGTTTTCGTCAAGACGGCGACACGATGTTCTACTAGTTTTATTATTTTTGGCTAGGCACGCTCGAATTTAAAATACTGAAATTTCTAATTTTCCGTTGCCTTAATATTTTCCTCGGCAATTTCCCCTGATTTTCAGTACATAAATCTTTAAAAACAAAAGCAAACAGCCAACGAGCGAGGACACCAATTTTCCTTGTTTATTTTTTACAAAAAGCAAAAGCAAGCAACCAGTCTGTTAACACTGAAAATTCCTTGAACAGTGATGCGATATTTTTCGTCTAATACTTCACAGTTGGCGATTGAGGTTTCTTTCGCAGTGAGCCTCCGCTTGTGTACCCCGTTCAGAGAAGTCATTCCCGGCTAAACTTTCAAATGAAACCAGTTTTAAGATGGACAGTATTTTGATTTGCACCCGTCTGTTCGTAAATCAAAAGGCACCTTGTTAGCAGTCAACAACTTGCAGAGGGATTCAACTCCGCGATACACTCACTTTCCGTAAATAAAGCAAATCCTGAGAAGATATGAACAACCATATGAATTTTCTGAATTTCCATGGCACATATTAAGGCAATTTTTCCTACCATAAGACCATAAAACAATAAAAAAGACAGCAAAATCGATCCTTCTCTTAGCCGACGACGGATCATTCACGAAAACAACCACGCGAGGAATAAGAGCTTTCAACTTCCGGCGTTTCCGACAACCAATCAGATCTTGTGGCATTGTTCTAACAGCGCAATCAGCGTTACGGCCAAAATCTGGCCGTAACAAGCACAAACGTGAATGAGTTTGTATCAGGGCCAATTTCAGCGGTAGCCGTTAGAGAGAATGTATGAGAACCGCTCAAATTGGGCCTGATCTCAGGTTACCTCAGATGTGATGTATAAATGGTATAAAAGCTTGGTTTACACACACCCAGATTTGTTGGCAAGATTTTGTAAAGTAAATTTTTCGAACGCAAAAAAATTCGGCCTGATTTTTTTTTCCCAGGCCTAATTAACGTTACGGTAATCAAGAGACATTATTAGGGGCACCCAACGAGAATATAGTTCAAAACCACTTAAACATAGCATTGTTAAACGTATTTTAGTATTTTAACGGTAGATTAGGCATATTTTTATCCCCAAAAAATTTTTCATCTGTTCGGATTTCCCATAGCTGAAAGTATAGTGATCCGAAAATTGTAGGGATCAAAACTTACCTTTCCGAAAATTTCAGTCACAAAAAAGGCTCCCGAAAATTCTAGGTGACCTTTTTAGAGTAAAAATCCGTTACAAATGGGCAATTATACCATTTTTTTAGATGTTCGAAAATCCTATGAGTGGCAGACAGGCAAGAAATTTTACAACAAGAGTTCCGAAAATTCTAGATCTCAAATCGTCTTCAGAACAGATATTTTCAGAAAATTGACGTTGGGCGCCCCTGCATTATGGCTCTTAAATGTGGTCGAAGATGTTTGCTATTTTTCGGGTGTACCGGCATATGAGGCTATCAACTCGATGTAAGATTTTGTTCACTCTTGGGCTGTTCGCAAATTATTTTTCTCTAAAACCACTTAGCCCGTCCCTCAAAAGTCACATGAATGTGCTATGTGCTCTAAAGTTAACTGAATTGTGGTATACAAGTTTATTGTTTGATTTGAATTATAATATATTAATGAGACCCTCGCTTTTAGCCCTGGCTAAATCTATTTAGTATATGCTAAAAAAGTGGATAGTGTTTTTCGTGCGATCTTATTGGCTACTCAATCAGTGAATATCCTGCACTATTCACTGATATGCTTAAGTCTTGCGTTACTTTATTTAGTTGACTTCTTCATAAATAAGCTTAAAACTAAATTTAATAATCCTTATTACAGAATTATTTTAAATACAAACAGAATTCACAACTCCTTTGAAGAAACTTCCCCGCAAAAGCTAAACAAACGCCTTCAAAAGTTTTATTTGTCGCTAAGAAAAAGCGACGACCGCGGCCGTTCGGTCATCGCGCGCCAAAATTGTAATCGTTGGCAAGAGTAAATGAGTTAAAAATCATCATTTTTTGCTCAATTATCTCACTGTTTTAGTACATACTAAAACAATTATTCACCGAAGTGGAGGTGGCTAGTATTGGATATTTACCGAGGCCGCGAAGCGGC